TATTTCTCTACCTAAAGGCGGCATTCGATTGTCGATCAACTGGTCTCACGACATTGTCTCTCACGGAAAGGGGCGCCTAGTAAGTACATCACTCTGTTGAAGGCTCTGTACTGTAACATAGGTAGGTGTGTTAGAGACTACGGTGAGCTGTCAGGTGAGTTATGTATGTCGAGTGGTATCCGTCAAAAGATGTCCACCCTCTGTCTTTATTTTATTCACCTCTATTACAGAGGTAGTTGTTGATGTCTCTCTCTCGTCGTCTGAGTTTATAGAGATTGATCTTATTACAGAAGAACCCTTAGCAAATCTAGAGTGTTAAGATGACAGTATTGTTCGGTGAAGACGCTGACAAGATGCAGTCTACTAGACACCTTGAGTGGCAATATTCAAACATTCGGATGTTTCTCGCCACCTAAATGCAAGCTGCCACTCCAGGACTGGTTTTCAGTGGCAGCTTGCTCAACAGTAGGGAGTGAAGTGGTTGATCACTTCACCTACCTGGGAAATTGGATCAGCCCTGGTGGGGTTGGTGACTGAATAAACCTCTACACAGATACAAAGGTTCGATTGGCTTTCACCAGTTTACCCCATTTGTTGTGCCACTGTGATATCCGATTGTTTATTAAGGTTCAAGTGTACTTACTGCGCTGCAGTTCGCTGTATTCTAGTATATGGTTGTGAAACATGGGTATCAAGAGGAGGACACGAGAAGGCTTCAGGTAGTTCGACCACCGTCGCCTTCTTAGAACAGGTCATGTATCGAGTTGTCACCACGTCATGCATTACGCATGCCCAGTTACGGTATGTGTCGTCGCTCAATGTCAGCTGAAGTAGATTCAGGTAGGAAAAATGCTAGTGCCGATCAGTCTGAATGATGGCACGAGCCCATGAAGACTTATGCTGATGGTCTGAGCGGTTAAGGTAAATGTAGTCCACTACGTTGGCATCTACGTTACAACAGAAACCGATGGCTGGAAAATTTAGGTGATACGACAGATTTATTCATGCGCTATCCTAATTTTATCGTCATAATAAATTCAGCATTATTTTTTTTCCCTATTCAAAGTAGTTCTGAAGCATCATCTTACATTTGACAGGTGCAAAACACATATCAGTCAAACATATTCAGATTTCTCCTCAATGTGTTTAGAAGACCTTGCATTTTATCAGTGTCTTCACCTAGCAGGACATTATCATTTGCATATTCCAAGTCAACCAGATGACTTCCAGGGAGTAACTCAGTCCCCATGAAGTTAGACTTACATAGGGTTATGTCCATTAGTACGTCCAAAACGAAGTTAAATCGGAACGCTGACAGTGGACCACTACCCAGCGAACACCACTACTTGTCGTCAGTCCACATGACAACTCTCCACAGGCCCTAACACTACGTGAGTTCCAGTACGGATCTTTGATTAGCACCATATACCTATACCTTCTCGGTACTCCATTCACAGTCAGACACTACCACAACACCTCACACTCGACACAGTCAAATAACACCTTCAGGTCAAGAAATATGGCAAGAGTCGGTCACCGGTAGGTAGGTAGGTATACCTGTGTTCCAGAACCTAACCGAGGATGGAAATATGATCGCCCAGCTTTGTCTCCAACCTGACTGGTTCTCTCCAGTTTGCTCTTCTCGAGCTCCACTTAGGCGTCGGATAACTATGCATGCTAGGATCCTGGACACAGCACTAGTCAAACTAATTCTCCTATGGTTGTCACCGGAAGATTCCTCCCCCTTCTTACAGACTACGATGATCGATGAAGTACACCAGTCTGACACACCATCTCTGATTTCCATACACTACCCACTACTACCGTCACTCTAATTACCAATTTCTCACCTCCATCCTTGAAAACTTCGGGTTACAAACTACCAGGTCCTGCTGCTTTGCTTCGTGTCACGTTTCATACAGCTTTCTCAACTTCGAGAGCTGGAGGATCGACATCTACATTCCATTCAGGTTCACGCTGGATGTCCCGGCAACTGAAGCGTTGCTGACAGTCAGTCGAACTGTGCTGCGAAATGTTCTCCCCAACGTTCCAGGCCACTTGTCCTGAGAGGTTATAAGCGTACCATTCTTTGCGATGATGGCTTCGCTCACCATCATCTTCTCCTTGCCAGTATCCTCTTTAATAAGCTTAAATAGTTGCCGAGTATTATCCAACGCTGACGCCTCGATCTCTCTTGCTTTCTCCAACCACCGCTGCTTGCGACTATTGCGACGACTCTTACTCAATTTATATGAGTTGCTTTCGCCCATCATTGTAGTCAGAACCAGCTGGAAACAGTGTTATCGCATCAATCAGTTCAGATGATATCGCGGAAATTCAATGAAGTTTGCTAACCTTCAGAAGTAGGTTACTAACTGTCTTTACCGCTGTTTCTACAGCAGACTTAATATCACACCAGTTTTCTGCAGGATGGACATTCATGTCTTGTTCCGATAAGTGCTATGATAACTCCTCTCCAAATGAGCCCTTGGCGTCCTCATCTACCAATCGAGCACAAATGAGCCTCACTACTACCTACTGTTTCCTGCAGTCAGTAAGGCGCAGACATATACGAGTCTGTAATAAAGCGTGATCGGAGTCCAAAATGGTACTCCAGAAAGAGAGGCACTCCTCCACCGAACCTCTTCAACAATGGCTAACAGCAATATGATCTGTGTCCAACGTTGGTTTAAAGACAGAGAACGCCATGCAAGACAGTGTCTCCCCTCATGCTTAAAGTTAGTGCAGGCCAGGAACAAGTGATTGTCACAACAAAACCGCAAGAGATGATCACTGCTGCCTGTTCGTTGACATGGGATTTCGTAGATGACTCCAACATGTCTTTTCGACTGGCTCAACTTCCTTACTTGAGCATTAAAGTCACTTGCCATTATGACTACATCTGAACGTTTTGTATTTCGTAGCAAAACTGACAGCTTCTTATAGAATTCATCCCTTGCATCATATGAACTACAGTCGGTGGATGCGTAGGCGGAGATTACGAATAGGACTCGCCTAGTCTCATGATCTTTTCTTGTCCTTAAACAACCATTCAGTCGAACAGCAGATAGACAGCTGTTGACTGGTATCCAATCAAAAAGCGCGCTTTTTACCCTACAACTCATGCTATGACTACAACAGCGAGTACACAAGAGTGAGTCTCTGGGTCTACGGATACTCACAAAGATTTGCGACTATGGCCAGGTGAGGTTAATTTAATAACCACACTCGGGTCACATATACGATAAATGTCTCAGAGACACAGTATACACCCGTAGCTAGAGATGCATGCCGTCCGGTTTGGCATAGAGTTCAGACGTTGAAAGCCCCGACATGAAATGGGTGGTGGGGTCTTAGGAGACTAGGAATGTGGTTTCGATGGCTTTGATCGTTTACAATGGTTTCAAAGTGATAAGTTGTATAGGGCATAAGAGACAATATTAAAATCAGAAGGTAAGGCAAAGATAGCTAAGTGGGATAGGTTATGTTTGATTGGGTCTTGTGTACTACTGGGAGCGTGAGGAAGTGGACACTTCCCGGCTTCTCACACCGGGGAAGGTTATTTTGCCTCAAGGTACCTGAAAAAGATTTTCGTGACCGTAGAACTCACGGAACATCTGCTGGAGGCCTGTCACTCATAGCCTTTTGCCAGTTGTTTTGAAGTTTGGTTGTTCTAGTGCCGGCTAGAGAAGACCCATATCCCCGGCACGGGAAAACAGTGGGGCAGAGAGGATTGTATTATTTTTGAGGCTGACCTTTCCTAAACCCTATCTGACATGGGAAGGACCTCGAGGAAACAGGCGTTCCACCAGCATAGGTCGTTGGGTCAGTGATATGGAAGCCCGACCACCACGTAAAGTTAGGAGCTACCGGCCGGGATGCTGTTTGTCAGTAGATAAAGCAAAACCGAAACCTGCACTCTAATAAAATACAACTGAGCTCCTGATTGACATTACCTCGTCTTCAAATATCGGTCTCTCGCATAGATTTCAAATATTAAGTTAAGACAAATATAGTAACCTTTAGGTTTACAGTTAAGAAGAAAAACTGCACAAATGAGTTGTAGTAGTGATAAAATGAATTCAACACATAAACGATTGATTTTTTGAAATGTTCGTTATGCCCATTCACAAACTGTTCAATAGCAATTTTGCTTTCAAATATTTAGAAAATGAATGCAATGAACAACGCCCTGGTGCTTAAAACGGAATGCGAAGCCGTGGGTTAACCAACAATTCTCTAAGGCCTGAAATTAAAATCAAAACCTCCTTTAAACCCACTATTATTCAGGTCAACATCACACCTCCTACCAAATATGCTTATCAGGATACTGCAAAGTGACAGTAAAAAAACGTAACTCCATAACTTTCGTGCAGTTATCCAGTAAATAATACTGGTTCACTGTGATCTATTTAATAAACCAACTAAAACGGAATTGTGTCCTCCCACAGTACCTAAGTTTTACTTTTACACTAATGGTAACAAATGTTTGGCAAGAGAATTCCCACCAACTCTACTCATAATCCTTAGACAGTAACTGGAAACTGATAAACAGGAGCGAATTATTTTTCATTTCTTCTCCGTTTTATTTCCACGTTCAGCTGTTTCCACACCGACCCTTAACAGTTAATGTAATATGTGGGCAGTCAGGAAGCTTTGCAGTCAAATGTTCCAAGCACACTGAACTCAACTACTGAGTAATAAGCTCAAATTGAATACATACAATTCAGTTTCAATAACAGTATGGTAAGCAAATTGTCGTGCAGTGGTTATGATGTACTTTAGCATCCCCACAGTAAGACGTCTTACCAATTGGTACATTGACAAATTACTATTAAACTTGCATTCATTTCTATTGAAAATTAACAGTAAATTACAACTATATCACACCCTCAACTCCAACTTCACTGTCATACAATAGAACTAAAATAATAAGTGGTGCTTAGTTAAAACTAACACTGCCAATTGTCCCCAACTAATTGCGAATCATATTTACATCGTCAACTTTCGAACAACAAATATTCGAGTAATAACAAACAGTCTGGAAATATTATTTTGAAAAAGTATGACTGAAATATACCTGAATCGGGACGAAACGTGGACGGTAGATGAGGAATAACTATCCACGGCCTAGGAAGATCCAGAACAACAGCATCTACACCATTTGGATTCATTTCACTACCAACTGTTGGAAAATATTCACAACAAGTATCACGAAGATCAACTTTCACTACATCACCAAGATAATGGGACTAACGTAGAAATCAAATAAAATTATGCATATTGTTGTTGGAAATAATTCCACTGTATAAGAAAGCGTGTTGAATAATGCAAACAAAATCAAATAAATACCCATCTAACATCAACTCAAATTGAATTTACAAATTTACTTGTAATTTGCATGCCCAAATAAGGTGGAATTTATCTGAGAAATGTGACACATTTGTGAAATACGTTTCGAACATTCTGATCACATCTTGACTGGTCAAGGGTGAAACTAGAGCATGATAAGTTGAACATAGGATTTGAAAATAAGCGATGATAGTCACACCAGGAAAAGGAAACTAATTATCATTCTCTACTTCACAACATAAGCTGAAATGAACTGTATGGTGCTAGATCTCTCTAAATCGCTTGTTGCATCGTTATGCTTTTGCATATTATTAAGATATTATCAACATATCTCCAGTACATGAACATCGAAATTAACATAGAACCAGGCATTACTGAGTAACAGTCCAAGTTGCCACATTTCATATCACCCCATCAAGTAACAAGGCAGTGAAATGGGAGATGAAAAAAGAAAGAAAAATCAATCAGAAGGAGTAGAAGGTAGTGAAAGAGAGGAAGGGGAAATGAGAAAATGATGAGGCTAAGTATAGCGGTTAAGATCAGGATAATGTATATATACATCTGCGACACTGACATCGGTTCTGAGCCATATCACCTAGAGTCTCCAACCACTGGTTCCTCTTGTCCCGTGGACCCCAACCACCTAGTCTGCATCGCTCTACATGGCTCAAACCAACAGTCAAAGACTTCATACATTGTTGCCATGTTTTAGTTTGGCCACCTCGGGCCTTTCTCCAGCCCGAACCTACTTCGGCCAACATTGTGTGATAAGGTAATTGGCGACTGGGCATACGTGGTACGTGTCCCAACCATCTCAGTAGATGAAGGTTCATAACCTCGTCAACTGACTTACCTATCCTCCCTAAAACTCTACATCTGACTTCCGCGTTACTCACGTGGTGACACCAAGAAATACAGTCTGTGCTACGAAAGCAACACTAGTGAAACACCTGCAGTCTTCTCATGTCGTCTACCTTTAAAGACGGTGTTTCACAGCCATAGATTAGGATACAGTGAACTGCAGCAAAGTGGTACACAAAAACCCTTACTTAGTAAGCAATCGGATATCGCGACGGTGCCATAGATGCGGTAAGTTGTTCAAAGCTAATTGAGGGTTTTGTATCCATGGCGAGATTTTGTCGGCCACTGACCCACCAGGGCTGATCCAACTTCTCAGGTAAGTGAAGTGTTCCACTCACTCAACCACTTCACTCCCTAGCGTTGAACCAGATACGACCAGTTGTGGAGCAACAATTTACATTTGGACGGCATCCGAAACACTCTCAAATAGGCATGAAAGGTGTCCAGAAGACTCTGCATCTTGTCAGCGTCTTCACCCAACAGAACTGTCTCATCAGAGTATTCTAGATCTACTAAATATTCGCCTGTGACTAGGTCAATCCCTGTGTAGTCAAATGAAGAGAGGGGAACCTCTATAAGTACGTCTATGATGAAACTGAATAAGAATGGAGAGAGTGGGCACCCTTGACAGACACCACTCGATGAGCATAGCTCCCTGGATAACTCGCCATAGGCTCTAACACGCCCACAAGTGTTCGAGTATAGAGCCTTTAATAAGGTGATGTACTTACTCGGCACGCCCTTCAATGAGAGACATTGCCATAAGACTTCTCGATCAACAGAGTCGAATGCCGCCGCCATCAGGTCGAGAAAAACAGCTATCGTCTGGCGTCGGTAAGCATGCCTATGTTCCAGAACCTGGCGCAATGTAAATATTTGGTCAATACACCCATGGCCGGGTCTAGAGCCTGCTTGGTTTTCTCGGACTTGCTGTTCCCAAGCTCCACTCAGGGGTCGGAGAATTAAGGGACCTAGAATCTTAGACACTATGTTCGTCAGGCTGATTCCTCTGTGGTTATCACAAGAGGACTTCTCGCCTTTCTTGAAGACTGGGATAATCAGTGATTCAGACCAGTCAGAGAGGCCAGTTAAGCTGTTCCTCGAAGTTTTCTACCCATAGTTCGAGTCGTCTCTCCTACGAGTAAATCGCAGACCCGTCCTTCTCCGCTATGGTCTCACTAACTGTTGTTGACTTTTTCCCCCAGTCTCCTTAATAAGTCTAAATGACTGTCTATTGTTACCAATCGCCACTGCCTTTTCCATCTCTTTAGCCTTCGCTGCCCACCACAGTTCGCGGTCGTTGTGTAGACTTTTTCTCAGTCTACTTTCAAGCTGTGCCCGCTCTTTATTGTACTCGGGGCCTGCAGGGATCAGTTCACGTGCATCCATTAGTTCGGAGGAAGCTGCTGATATCCACTAGATCTGTTTAGCCACTCTTTCGGAGTTGGCTACAGTCTTCAGCTCTGCTTTTACAGCAGACTGAAGATGGCACCAAGCTCCTTCTGGATGAGTGATAGTCTTCTGTTCCGATAACTGCCTAACCAGTTTTTCACTGAACACAGCTTTGGTGTTATTGTAGTCCAGCAGCACTCGCAGCACTCGTGGTTTTGTTGCCAAGTGTTTCCTACGTCCATTGAGACGCAGGCATATACGTGCTGGGACCAACGTGTGGTCGCTATCCAAACACGTACTCCAGAAGGAGCGACAGTCTTCCACCGATCCTCTCCAACGATGACTAATAGCGATGTGGTCTATCTGTATCCATCGCTGAGTTGAGCTCGGTGGACGCCACGTCAGGCAGTGTCTTTTCTTATGTCTGAAATTTGTGCTTACTAAAAATAAGCGGTTATCTGAGCACACTTGTAGTGGCCGATCACCGTTATCTGTTCGTTCAGCCGGGACTCTGAAAGTGTCACCTAAGTGCCTTTCTGCCTCATTCAGTCTACCCACTTGTGCGTTGAAGTCACCTGCAACAACCACCATATCCGAGCGTTTGGATTTCGAGAGGAGGCTAGACAGTTTACGGTAGAACTCATCCTTCCCTTCATCCGAGCTGCAGTCAGTGGGCGCGTAAGCAGAGATTACAAAGAGACAACGGCGAGTCTCCCTATTCCTTTTAGTTCTCACTACGCCGTTCAGCCACATAGCGCAGAGGCGACTATCAACTGGGATCCAGTCTAGTAGTGAGCTTAGTAGCCTAGTGCTTAGTGCTATGCCTACACCTGCAAGACCGCGAGAGCTAGCCATCGAATCTCCAGAAACTCGAAGGGTGAATTTCACGCATTCACCAGATTGGCCGTGAGAAGTCAGGTGAATAACCACACTTGAGTCCTGTATGTGTGTCTCACAAACACAGCACACATCCATGGCCCGAGTTGCCAGAGTCTGCCAACAAAGCCCGTTGACCGATTTGGCGGAGGGTGCGGACATTGAAGACCCCGATATGTAATTTGGAGCGAAGTTTAAGGAGACTAGGGATACTGTTCTGTGGATTCAGATCGTTGTCGAAGGCTGCGGAACTAGGAGAAATTAAAGATGATATAGTATCGTTAGTTGAGAAACGTGAAGGAGCTCCATATTGGATTTGTTTATTTGATTTATGACACAAAGTGATATAGTATTATTTACTTGACGTTTCGAGCATAAATTATTGCTTATAATCGTATCAATGATAAGATTACGAGCAATAATTTCTGCTCCAAACGTCATCAAGCAAATAATGCTGTATCACTGTGTTTTATAAATCAAATAAACAAATCTAATATGGAATTAAATTTTACCACATTGCCCAAGTTTTACACCTATAGACGTGATGGAAGATTAGGTAATGATGCGGGAGGTGCGTACCAGTCTGAAGAAACTTGAGTGCTGACAGAGTTGTGATGGCGGTCGACACTTCCCGGTTGCCCATATCGTGGAAGGCTATTTCTTCTTAAGGTACATGAAAGAGATTTGTGTGACCACAGAGCCCACCGGACATCTACTTGAGGGCTGTCATACACAGTCTTTTGTGTATGCTTGTTTTCGGTCCAGGATGGTCGAAAAGAAACGACAAATGAACCAACACCGTCGACCCGGCAGACCATTAAGAAGGCAGCATCAGCATGGTACTGCTGGTCATCCAAGGGAAACACCTTACTGCTGTCACACACCATCCAGCTAACAGCAGTACAACTTCGCCTTCAGACCCCCATCATAATGTAGTAAGTTACACCACAACGGTGACTGCTTTTCGTCTAACCACCATCCAATAGACCTATTTGGCATAGTAGGACCTCGAGGGAACAAGTGTTCCACCAGTATAGCTCGTTGGGTCATTGTGATATGCAAGCCCGACCACCACGTCAAGGTAGCAGCTTTCGGTTGGGTAAGGGACTTGTTTAGCTAAATTATTTTGTTTAATTGAATCAATAGGATCTTCTAACCAACAAAGCTTGTTTCTAAGTGAGTCTATAGGTTTAAATACCACTCTAATCCCACCCAGCCTTATTGAGAATCCTACGTAATATCTCTGAGGCGCCTTCTTTGTATGACTATTGTAGAGGCTGTGAATTCTATCTTTACAGTATTGGTGCTGCTATTACTATTATTATTAACATTGTTACTACTATTGTTAACACCTGTGTTGCCAATACTAGTCATTTTTCCTACGATTCCTGAGGAACTTATCAATTAGTTTAGGAGAGTGGTTGTTGGGGGGATAAGATGTCCTAAATATATCCGATTTCTGGTCTTAGATCTTCCGTTTTACTAGTAGGTTTTCTGGCGCTGTTACTTAGACATTCTACCAAGCTAACTTTGACTGACGTAGGATGAGATGATTCGAAGTCTAAGTAATGTTTTGAGTGTGACGGTTTTCTGTAGACACTAATGTCTGAACTCCCATTTTGTCTTCGTTTTATTCTGCAGTCCAACATTGCTAGCCCATCATCACTTTCCAAGTTACAGGTGGATCAAATTGCATTCACTACTGAATTTATGTGTCAAGAACCTATTGATGTGTTCCGATTTCAGTACTGTAAATATGTCATCTACATAT